AAGGGCAAGGGGGATCACATCAATCCTAGAGCACTTTGCCCCTTTCAGCTGGGCACAGGAGTGGAGCACAGTCAATTTTCCACTCCAGACTGAGCTGACCCACACTGCCCTCCCCCTGCCCAGCCTCCAGGTCAGGTCATGCTGCTTCCACAGCATGAGGATGCTCCACCAGCCCCTAGCAATAGTTAAGCCTAAAGCAGGGCACAGCTACGACTGCCACTCGGGCACAGCAGGAGGTAGAGCCTCGCCTCGTCCATTTAGCCAGTGACGTGCCCAGTCTGTCCCATCTCTGTGCCCATTTTCAGGGCAGGCTGTTCTTGCAGCAAGTCAGAGGGCTCCAAGAGACAGGCAGATTGTTTTGAGCCTCTTTCAGGAGTTATGAAGCCCGAGCTACTGGCACCGTTTGTTATCTTGTTCATCAAGCCTCTGGCCACTCTAGCAAGCCAGGAGGAACAGTACATGCTTACACATTATCTATTGTGAAACAGCCTATTGTGAGGATAAACAGACTCTGCCACTTTGTTTATTATTAACCATACCGTGCCCCCATGGAGGCTGGACCCCTCCTTCCCAGCAAGGAAGGGACAAGTCCCGGGGTGGCTGTAGCCAGGTCCAGCACTGCTAGTGCAAAGTCTGAGGTCAGGGCCAAAGGCACTGCCGATTCATGTAAACAGCAAGGTGTTGGGGTTCACGGCGGGCTGAGCAAGTGAAATGCTTCAAGGAGGTCATGCCAGAGCAAAGAGAAAGGAGCAAGTCAAACAGTTTGCAAGCTGGGATCAGAAAGTTGATGCTGCACTGAAGACCAGAAGGGAGCTCCTAGCTCAGAAATCTCCCCGCATTTCCTCCTCTGATAGGAACAGGACTCATGCTGGGCAGCTACATTTGCCTACTTATCAGCTAGGGGATTTTAGCAGCTGTAACTTCTGGGAACTGCCTGCTGCTTTCCCTTCTGCTTTCCCTTGTGCTACTGGCTGCACATTGGTGGCCTCGCAGCTACAGGGGCTCAGCAGAGCAGCGGTCATTTATGTAACTCGTAGAAGTTGGTTTTATGTAATGCTAATCCCCTCCACTAGCACCCGGTCCTGGAAAGCAGATAGCACCGAGCGAGAGCCCAACAGAGCACCGCAGACCCTGTGAACTCTTGACAAGGCTACACAGGAGCTCTGCAGGCAGATAAGCCCTCCATTATTCCAGCATCACTGTAACCATGAATTGGTGCTCTCCCCTCCCCAGCCCAATATCCTGCTGAATTTAGAAAGAGCAACTCCCCACTGCTCAGGCAAGGAGACCAGCTACACTGCACTCCAGTAACGTGTTCCTGGAGTTTGGTGACCAGAAGCAGCAAACTGGCTGCAATAACTCAGGGCTCAACTGATGAATAAGTCATCATAGCCTCTCAGCAACTGTCCCAATGCCATGCTCCCAAGAGTCAGGCCTGTGAGACCAATTTCCTCACCTCCCCCTAACCCATTTGAGGTGTCATTTCCAGGAGACCCTGCTCTGTTCCTAGGGTTTTCCCTCCCCAGTAGGCACTGGGGTATTGCATGAAGCCCAGCTTGGTGCTGAAACCCTTGATCTCACTAGCAGGTTAGCTTCAGGATCAGAAGAACTGAGAGCAACTCTTGCTCATCATGCATTTTAGGTTGAGTAATATGCAGCCAGGTCCCACCCGCCTCACTCACCTTGATGTTGCCACTGGCATCAAGAAGGATGTTTTCCAGCTTCAGGTCTCTATGAACAATCCCATTCTGTTGGGAGACAAAGTGAAGTTCAGGTCAGTGCACTTGAGAGTAATCACAGCAGGGAGGGGACTGTCCTTTACTGATTCAGCACATGTGGAGATACCCAAGCAGCAGGTAGAGATTAGCTTTATTTTATTTATTTATTTATTTTTTATGGGCTCAAAACAAGGATTTAAAGTTCACCATTGGGGAGATAAGCAACAGATAAGGACTTAATAACCTACTTGTGAAAAATGAGCTTACAGATGCATTGGAGGATATTTTGGCAGATGCCTTTGCTTACAAAGAACTAGGTCTTGGAGGCGGTTAGACTGACAGGCACCCTCCCCACCCTTAGTCAGAGGCTGGGCCTTGAGCCATTTGACATCCACCCTAGTGCTGGTTCACACAGAGAAGCTCAAGGTATGTGCACTGCCCTGTCGAGTTCAGGCATGCTCTGGTACCCAGCTATACAGAGACATTCATCCAGGACAGGTGCATCGACAGGGTTCAATACCAGTTGCCAGAGCAGTCAGAGGTGAAGCCTACAGCTAGCAATGTCTCCTTGATCTCAAAAGCACCGACCATCCTCTATTCCCATGGCTCAGAGACCAGGGCATGAAGTCAAAGAAAGATGCCAAGACTCTCCGAGAAGCACCAGTGTAATCCCAGGTGATATTTGTGCCAGGTCTGTTCCTCCAGCTACTTTTTCAGCCCCTGGTTTTGAGCCAGTCTCTGCAGTTTGGGCGTCAGGCACTACATGTCTCAGCCACTAGGATGGAAGGGTTCATCCTGCACCCCCAGCACGGGCACAACATCACTGATCTAGCAGAAGGCACTAGCTAGTTCTGCAGTTTTCATCTGAGTTCAAACCTAAGCTGACAGCTCTGGGCGTTTCCCTTACCCAAGGCTGATAATATGCTGTGACGAACGTAGTCAGAGGCTTGGCGCCTTAGCAGTAGAGCAGCCAGAATAAAAAAGGTAGCCTCCTCTGCCCAGGGCAAGCTTATCGCTTTCCCAGACTTGGGGCATAGGCACCCCATCCCACTCCAGGCTGGGTAAGGATCAACTGAACACATTTTTGGGGGAAGTGGAAGAAATTAAGTTCTCCCCATACAGCCCTTCCCAGGCGGGCAGTAACTCAAAGCTTGAACCATTCTCTGGATGAAAACCTCAATGAATCCCCTCTGCTTTCATTCGGTGTTGCTTTATCATTAGACTTGCCAGCACCAGGGTGAGAAGGGTGCAGTGTCTGGCTATAAGATATGAATCCTCCCAAACTGCCCCACAGAGTCTGTGCTGGTTGACGAGTTGTCAGGCCTGCTAAAAGCCACTCGCAAGCAGCCAGGAGGTAGCAGAGGTGGGTCAACCCCTCCTGCGTTTTGTGGACACCGGCTTGCTCATGGACTTCCAGCACAGGCTCATTTTTTAGTGCAGGTGTGAGCTGACCATGGCCTTTTGCCACCAGTGTTTGTTTACCTTGTGACAGTAGTAGATGGCAGACACAACCTGCCTGAAGAAGTGCCGTGCCTCCTGCTCCGTCAGCCTCTGCCGCTCGCTGATGTAGTCGTACAGGTCTCCTTTGCTGGCATATTCCATCACAATGACGATCTTGTTGTTGTTTTCAAACACTAGGCGGGATAACAAGAGGGCCAGGTTAGACTGAGAGCCGCTACAGGAGGCCCCTCTGAATACAGGTCCTTGTTAGCAAGAGCATCTGATTGTCATCAGGATGCTGGTGTCCAAATGGGCCACCCCAAGCCTCTGTTTTAAGCTAAACGGACAGCTAGAGCACCACGTGAAGGTGGGGAGCGCTCGGATAGCCAGCCCAGGCCCTGCAAGCCAGGCACCAGTAAGCTCTGCTACCACAGACTGCGCGAGATGCAAGACTCTGCACCCCTGAAGGACGACTCGGGCACATGGTTGTTTCTTTGCCAGGATATCACCGCTCAGAAGGAAGAGACCTGCTGCGGTTTCAGTTGGCCTGACCGAGCACAGACTTCCACACCCTTGTAGCCCACAGCAGTCACAGCCTGCCAGGAGAGGCAGGCTTTTGCTCCAGTTTCATATATATGTATTACCTTGTCACATTTAGGTTCAACACAGGCAGCAAACATGACCCCATCTCCACAAACACGCAGCCTAACCTATGCTGCCAGGCCTCCTGCTTTGTTTAGCAGAGCAGAGGACTTTAGATACCTCACGTACGCCCTTGAGGAAGTAGAAACACTAGACATTGGCCACGCGGCTTGTGCCAGGCACAATAAAGCTATAAAAACCCGAGAGCCAGCGACGCTAGAGAAAGCAAGTTTTGTTCCATGTTGGAGTCAAGGGACGAAGACGTGTTCAAGCAGCACCAGGCTGACTTCACTTGAGACGTGCTCCAAGAAGCTCCCCCCTCCCATTCCTCCCAGCCACCTGCCTTTCTCCAAATTCAGAGCTGTTAAAGGTTGTTGCTTTGACAACCCTGGCGAAAGCAGAGGTCTGTGTCCAAGTCATCCTATGGCGCTGCTGTCCACAAGCTCTCCTCACCCAGCCTGCACAGTGGACTGCAGCTCAGACCTGGGGAGGGAAGGACTGCACCCCCCTGGATGAGCTCGCCCAGCTAGAGCTACTCCAGGTTTTACAGTCTTGGCACAGTCTGGAGGGCAGGACATGAAAGCAAGCATTACCATGCACTACAGAGCCACCCCGGGGCCGGGACCTGCAGTCAGTGTCGCTGGCTTTCCAGCTGCAGGCAGATGCAAAGGCTTCCAAAGCCCTTGGGTGGCTTTTTGCCCTCCACATTTCTCAGACAAGTGGGGCAGCCATTATTTTTAGAGCTGGTATCTGCCCCCCCCGCCACCTGAGGACTTGTGTACAAACACACACAGAGAGCAAAGTTCAAAATCCAAAACATCAGGGAAACCAGAGCACCTAGCAGCCCTCAGCTCCCTGCCCCACGGCTGCTGAGTCACCCCTGGCTTGTGCAATAGGGAAGTGAAGAGCTTCCGCCTTCTTGTTTTGAAAAGCTTGTTTTCGATTTTTGGAGGGGGAGAGTTTACCAAAAGAGGGAAAGCCCTGGGCTGCCTTTCCCTGCAAAAATGCACAGCCTGCAGACAGCTCTGCCTGTCTCGGGCAGGGGGAGGGGGCTGGCATTTGCCTAGTTTCCAGTTAGTAAAGGAGAAATCCCCCATTCTCCTGGCTGGATGCAACTCAGATCTACCTTCCACAAAGCCAGCAAGGCTAGGTCAGCGTCCGATGGACTGCAGCATTCGGGATGCGGGGAGCCAGCACTGAGCAAAACAAAGTCAGTGCCAGTTCAATTGGGTAAGCACGGGAGCTTCAGGAGTCATGTTTAGCCCCCTCACTTGTGCTCCTGGGGTTTGGGATGGCACGTCAGCCAGTCGCCGTCCATTTTTGCTGCCCAGCTGGGAATCCCGGCATCTCTGAAGGGAAGCATCCCAAAACCAGCATTAAAACATACTACGCACAGCCAAAGCAAGCCACGGCGAGTGAAACGCCCACCCCCACTTGCACGTCAGAAGCTCTTACCTTCATGGATAGCAATGATGTGGGGGTGATTGAGGGACGACATGATCTCGATCTCCCTCCGGATGTGGACAAGATCCTGCTCATCCTTAATTTTGTCTTTCCGGATCGATTTGATAGCAACCTGCAAGTAAGAGCACGAAGAAAGAAAATGTGAGGGCTGGAACTTAAGGGGCTTTCAAAAGCCTGTTGCCTGCTCACGGGGACTGGAGCACCCAGACTAGTCCAGTGGTAGGCAACACTCCTGCCTTGGTCTTGTTGTTTGCACGGACTTGCCTCAAGCCTCAGATGTTGCACAGACCTCACAAGACAGTCCCTGCCCTGGAGGGCCGGCAAGCCAAGTCAACGGACAGAGGCCTTGCTCCCTCAACGTTAGAAATGGGGAAAGCCGAGGAACAAGCCCGCTTGCCCGAGATCACACGTGGCTAACTCAGCTCTCAGCCAGAGCCCAGTCCTTTATCCAGGCTGTCCTTACCACGTGCAGCACTGGCCTATACGCCCTGCTGGTTATTTTAGTACAGGCCCAGGACTCGTTTCCCATACTTCATAGCTCACTGGTACTCCCAAAATCACGCTGGAACTGCCCCCAGCTTTATAGCAAGATATATCCAAACAGCGTCCTTGTCCCCCAAAACTACACTGCTCCTCACCGCCCAGGCATGCTGCTAATTTCTGCCACCCCACAGCAGGTCTCCAGTGCGTCTCAAAAGGTAGCACGACCCTCCTTTGCCAAAGGATGGATAGGCTGGCCACATTATTGGGCTAGTGTCCTGAACTGGAATCCCCTGAGGATTACATCCCGTGAAAGGAATGTGACCCGCACACATGACTTGGAAGATAACAACATCTTGGTGTGGTGCAAATGAAAAACAGGTTTGTTCCCCCCCCCGCAACTATTTGTTTCAGGAGCCAAATTGCTCAAACTTGTGAAGGGAAAGTCTGGGACAGAAGGAGCAGCCGGCCAGTTCCCGCTAATGCTCCCCTTGCGACAGAGGCACAAGCAGTACACGCAGGACTTCCCTCCAGCGCGCAGGGCCCGCGTCCCAGGGCTCGCTCGGATTTCTTCATCATCACAAAGGCTCCTCCACAAGGAGCTGGGAAGGGGAGGGGAATGAAA